GATATCTTTGATATAACATCTAAATAATTTTAGGATATTAAATTTGAAAAAATAATCTAAGTTGTCTTATAAAATATTTGCAAACTTTTATTACTTTATATTGAGATTTATCAATTTTAATTCAAATTTCTTAATTCTATATTTTTCCAATTTTTTTTATTAAAAAAAATCACACTTTTCTTTCTTATTCAATAAAAATATACTGAATTTTATATAACTTATTTCAAAATTATATCATCATTCTAACTTAAGAATAAAAATTTGTTATATAATATTATCATATTATAGGTATTTTCCTAAAATATAAATTTATTTTATATTATGTCATTATATTATAAGCCTTCTTCTATTATTAAATAATATTATTTTTGATACTTTTCTAATTTTATAACATAATAAAGCATAATGAATATTCATTATATTATGTAATGATAAAAATTAAATATTAATCTTTTTATATTGTGTAATATTCAATTTTAATTAATTTAAAGTAATAAAAAAAGGTTGATAATGTTTTAAAAACTAATCTATCAATATTTAGATTTTTTACATCAATATATTATTTGTTTCTTTCTTTACATTTAGGTAAAAAAAGATCTAGAGATCTTTGCTTTAAAGAAAATTAGTTAAGAGTTAAAATTTAAGGCTTAAGATATATATTATAAAATATATTTTTATTTAATAACTTATAATTTACCAAGTTTAAAATATTTTAAAGTCTACCAATATTTTTCTATTATTGCTGTTTTTTCATATCTAATATTTTATCATCTAACAAAATATTATTAATATTATTATCTTTTTATAATCTTTTTATATAGGATTTTATATTAAAGATAACATTTTTTTATAGAATTTTAAATAATAATTATAGTTATTATTTTATTCTAAAAAATATTTATGATGAAAAATATAATTATATATTAATATTATACCTTCTTCTTAATCTAAATATTTAAATTTTTAATGTATTAATCACAATTTTATTAGATAGTAGTTTAAATATATGATATTTAGTAAATAAGCATTTATAATTTTATTTTTTTAATTTAATATTATAAGTTTCTTTTTAATTTTCTAATTTTTATGATTATTATAAAAAAATATAAATATATTTGATATTTTTGATTTAATTCAAAAATTTATATAAAAATTTATAAAAAAAACTGAAAAATATTTTTTAATTAGTCAAAAACTAATCTTTCTATAATGATAACCTTATAACAATCAATTTGTATTAATCAAATTTAATAATTATATAATATTTTAAAAATGATCATCATAAAATTCAACTAATAAAATCACAGATAAGTTAAATATTCACTATGATTAATTTTGTAAAGTGATAAAATTTAAATATTAAAATTGATAAAAATTGACAAACTTGTTAAACATGATAAATTTAACAAAACTGATAAATCTATCAATTATAACACAATTTAATATTATTATTATTTCTATTATTATTATCATTATTATTATTTCTAACATATTTGTTATTTATATTATTTATATTATTTTAGCTTTATTATTATTTATTTCATATTTATCATTACTAATATATATGTTAATGCTATTATCATTATAAATAGTATTATAATTATAATTATCATTATAGATTTTCTTTAATTATAATTTTCTCATATAAAAGATATGAAAATGTTTTAAAAAAGAATAGATCTCAATATATATTTAAAATATATCTAATAATAATAATAAATAATAATAATATTTTATAAATATCAAAACTTATAATTTTATTATTATTAATTCTTTAACTAATATTATGTTAAGTTGATTGGAGTTAAATCATAGTTATTATCTTCTTGACTTTAAATTATAGTTAACTTATTTGACAGATAACGTTAGTCTTTTTATATTATATAATATTTGATTTTAATTAATTTAAAATAATAAAAAAAGATATTTAAAAACTAATATACTAATATACAGATTTTTTACATTAATATATCATTTGTTCTTTTCTTTACATTTAAGTAAAAAAAAGATCTAAAGATCTTTACTCTAAAGAAATTTAGATGAAAGCTAAAATTTTAGGATTTAAAATATATATTTTAAAATATATTTTATTTAATAAATTATAATTTATCAAGTTTAAGTATTTTTAAAGTCTATTAATATTTTTATTTACTATTACTGTTTTTTATTTATTTTTATTATCTATTTTTATTATCTAAATATTTTATCATTTAATAAACTATTATTAATATTATTATATTTTTCTAATCTATTTATTAAGGGTGCAAATATATTAATACCATAGGATTATCTTTAGATTGTTTAACAGGCAAATTTACTTGTGAACTTAGAAAAATATGTTATTTTTTTTAATAAAATATTATTCATAAGACTTTAGTTTTTATAAATTTACATGCTTTAATATTTTGAAAACTAAAATTAGTATTAATTATTTAAAACCTATACAAGTAAGACAATTAAATTTCAGTGATCTAATTTATTATTACTTGAAATATAAGCATAGGATACTTCTATTTAAATCTTAGAATATACATACAATGTTTATTTAAATGTATATATAGCTAATAAAATTTTTAGATCTAATGTAATGTGATTTTTATTTACATTTAATGATATATTATTTACTTCACTATTTGTACAATAAAATTTTATTTTAATAATGATATTACTTAAAATTTTTTAAAATTTTTATATATATTTTTGATTATTATAAAATTTAAATAATAAATAATTATTTATTTATACATGTAAATATAATATGATAAATAATACTTAATGTTAATTTTTGATTGTAAAATAAAAGTTGCATTATAATATATTTATATTTTATAATAAAATAGAACATATTTATATGAAAAAATCTTTATAAATACAGATATTTTATTTTTATTTTATTTTTTTAAAGAATATTTATTTTTAAGTGAAATACTAATACTTGTGATAAAATTTTTAATATTACATTTTTTTAGTGATATATTTTATTTTATTTTTTTATTATTTTTATATGATCATGTGATTTATGATACTTTACATATATTAATAGTTTCCATTTTCTAACATATAATTTTATTGTATATATATTTTTATTATCTTTTTCTAAACTCTGCTAACTTATTTTATAAAATTATTAATTGATTCCTTCAGACTTCTTCTTCTCTTTCAACTTTTTCTTATCCTCTTTTAATCTATTTTTCTATTTTTTTCATGTTTTTTCTCTATAACATTTGATCATCTTTTGTCTAATAACTTATTCTTATTCAATTTTTCTTTCTTCTCAAACTTCAACTCTTCTTTAGTCTTTCTATATTCTTTTTCTGCCATCTTATATAATTCTTCAAGAATTATCATTTTTTTTGTGTTTTAATAATGATTAAAAAAGGAATTAATTATTCAATTAAGTAACATTTAATTATAGTAAAACAAAATTTTTTCTTTATTTGATTGGACAGTTACTATATAACAGAATCATTTATAGTGGTATTCATATATAAAGAAGCAGAAAATACAATTACTAAAATATATAATCATTTGTTACAGAAACAAGTAAAGACATATCTTTATATAAAGAGTTGAAAATTAATTAAAGTAGGAAAATAATTAAAAAAAAAAAATTAGTAATAAAAAAAACATTTAAATAACAATATATTTAAATAAATAATAAACTTATTTCATTATTATGAAGGAAAATTGTTTTGCTCTTTTTAATTTAAATGATAAGTATGTTGTATGTTATAAATGACATACATATATGGGACTCTGGGAATTTTTTAACAAAATTTGCATTTTAGTTCTTAATTTTAGTCAAAAATAATTCCCTGAGCCCCATTTTCCTAGCAAACTTCCATATCTCCTATTAAATTGAATAGAAGAACCGTTTATTTAGAATTGGTTCAAAGAATCTGGTTTGGTTCGTTTTTACTATTAGAACCTGTTTCACATAACTAAACCTAACTGAACCCTATCCCTAAGAACACAAATATAATTGAAGGATGGTATGAACGATGGAATTCGTTAATTGGAAAGGCATATGTTAGCACAATTATGGATGAAATGCTCACGTAAAGAACAATAATCAACTGAATTACAAATAGAAAATATTATTCGTGAAGAACCAGATCATTTCAACGAAACATTATATTTGATCAAGAAAATCATATTTATCAGTTTTTGATTCAAGTCCATATAATGGCTTTTATTATTAGCAATTTATCTTTATTTTGGGATGAAACTTTAAGTACTTTTTGGAATTCTTTGACCCAATTTACTAATCAATTTCCTAATATTAATTAATATTATTCTATTAATCAAATGCAAGTAGAGAGAGTACAAAATTAACGAAAGCTAAAAAATCTAGAATTTACATAATAGAATACTTAATACTTTATAAAGCCTGACGATAGAGTAAATTTTAGCAACAGAAAAAAGAATTTTTTTATGCAATTAAAATGATTTTTCATATGAATAAATGAAGCATTGGTATATTACAATTAAAAGAACAATTTTTTTTTATTTTTTCGCAAACATAAACATTTTTAGTATGATAAAGTGAATTTTTTTTTTTTGCTGTATAAAAAAAAAAATTCAGCCACACATATCATATATCAATAAAAATACATCAATAGGGGCTTTCTCGACTAGGGTTTTATAAAAGCCTTCATCAAAAGTGTCGATAATCAGATTTTTTATCATTACGTAATCTTCTTATCATTATAATAATCATATTTTGGTGGAATAAAAGTATTATGTATTAACAATAATACTTACTTAATGTGGATAGTTTATTTATTCATTGTATTTACCGTATATGAAAATGTTTATGAGGCGCAGTCAAAATCAATTTGATTTCCTTCTCCATACCGACATGTTTTCTCGTCCTTTTCTTTTTTCAAAACTGATTGGATTCTCATCAAAATATTCTCTAATAAAATGTTCTCCCAATAATTCTTGGTATCTGCAAAAAAAAAAAAAAAAAAAAAAAAAAAAATAAAAATAAAAATTAGTTACCGAGTCACATAAAATATGTGTAAAGATAAATCTACTTGCATGTCTGGATTAAGAGCAAACGGAGGTCCTTCTATATGATCACCGATAGGGTAGATTAATGCGATTAATATACCATCAGAAGAGATTAATTCCGAGATTTTAGAAGCCCATTTTTGACGTAATTCTGGTGGAAAGGTACATAAGAACCTAGTAAAAAGGGATTTTTATTACATTTTTCGTCGTTATCATAATTATGAATGAATTGAACGAATGGAATGACATCTTACGTGTAATCATAGACAAATTGATATTTTTCCTTTGGCGGAATGTGATCAAAGAAATCTCCTTGTTGAAATGTTACGTGAGAATCGGGGATTTTAAGTTCTTTTTGTTTCTATAGTATAATAAAAATAAAAAAATTGATAAGGATTTCTCAAGTGAGAAACATCTTTTAAGGGAACGTAACTTGATATTAAAGTACCTGTTGAACTCGTTCGATTAAGATTTGACTTAAATCTAATCCTGTAACGTGCCTGCTCTCGCTCGACAGATAAAATACATCATACCCCTAACATGTCAAAGTTAAAATAATTTTATTATTTAAAATTATATAATTAAATTATCAAAAAAATAGTCAAGTTACATTCCCACATCCCGGTACAAAACCACGTCCATCAGGCAAAGGAAATTTTTTTTCTTCGATTAATTGCCTTAGAGCTGGTGAAATTTCTCCATAATCCCAAGGAGTATGCTATGGTAAAGTTCAAATTAATTTTTTCATAAATTCTTAAGGGGGAGGGAAAACCAATTTAAACATAAATGACTTACTTCTTCCTTATATAATGTGTCCCACCCTTTTTAAGGTTTATGCAACGATTATAAATAAATTATATTCAAAAAAATCAGAAAGGAAGAAAGAAATAAAGGATAAAATACCTGCTGCTCCTTCTTCAGTGAGAATTTCTTTAATCGATTTTACCTTTTGTTCCGATTGCATACTGTTTCAAAGGTTCGATTTCAAATAATCCAAAATGATTTTATGGTTATATATATATAAAAAAAAATAATCATGTTTCACGATAAAAAAGATAGCGTTTTAGGAAATACTTTCAATTTCTATAACAAATAATAAACAGCATTTATTTAAATACAAATAAATAAATGACGACATTTTGTCGATTACACAATTGGTGCTTTAGGTTGAATAATTTACATATATTTAGAAATAGGAATTCATAATACAATGCATAATTCATTCAATAATGACGGGAAAATATGGCGTTTTAAAACCAATGAAATATTAAAAGATCATTTTTCCTTCAATTTTTCTAAAAGATCGTCAAATTTCAACGAAATATCACTTTGCTGCTTCTTTAGAGTAATATGACTCACATATATATTTTCCCGCTCTCCCGAAGGATCCGAATCCACGGAATTATTAATATTGACCTCCAAAGAACACTGATCATAATCAAATTTATCGTTTTCAGGTCCTCCATAATGATTCTGATTAAAGAATGTGATTGATACTAACGAATGATCAAATTCATTAGCAATTCTATAAAAATGATCAAATTCTACGGGATCGAATAATTTTGTCACCACTTCCTTAATTTCGGACCTAGCATGTTCCATTCCCGGTACATCGTGCTCGTCAGCGACGTACAAGAATTCTAATCTTTTCAGGCCTCTTAACTCTTGAAGCCTTGCCAACATCAACCTACCTCGACTGTACCTTCCCGAAATAGTAAGGCTTTCGATTTTATTGCAATGTACCACTAATGTGTTCATGATATTTTCAGAAGCGTCATCAATTTCTAATTCGGTTAAATTTTCTCCTGCCTTCTTCAAGATTAACGCGGTAATTTCAGGTCTAAATTTATTCAAAGACAGTTCCAATTTCTTTAGGTTCCGAAATTTCGTATCAGGGTCAATAAATTGCGGAGTTAATCCAGTACAGTAACTCATGCCTAAAGATTCCAAACAAGAGCACCTTTCAAAATATTGAAATGCCATTTGCCCAAAATCTACATTGTCAATATTCAAGTATATCAACGAATTTACTTGGGATTTCAAAGCTGGTAAAATTATTCTTTTGGCATTTAATTGGGAATTTTCTTCACCTATCAAATTAAATCCCTTCAGATGTTTTTGAGAATTCACAAAGGAAATTATTTCATCAGTAGCTCTCTCAATCAAGTAATTACCGCTAGTATGAAGGTTGTCATCAATCCTTTCGGTCTCATCAACCAAAAAGAATACCTCTTCAAGACTTTTGAGGACATTTTGAAGTCCACGAAGAAAATTTTTAATACTAAGTACATAACTATCATTGGTCGTTGGAGGAAAAGATAATAAAAGACTTTTTAAGTTTGAAATCTTTAATGTTTCACCCTCAAATATATTCGAAAAGTTACCAACTTCAAAATCAATTGCTATTGATTCAATGCAAATACTTTGTTTTGCAAACATTTTGAATAATTTAAGTTCGATGCTTTGAGTAAATTGAACTTTACTGTCGTGCTCGCCAAATACGTGATCAAACCAATGGTATACAGCTTTATTCAAGGATTTAAAAGAAATCTCTTTCAAATATCTTTCATATTCATAGAGAGGTGGTTTAAGCTTAAAAGCATTAATCATTTGCTTAATCATGGTAATTTCATCCTCATTTAGCCATTCACAGAAATGGTCATATAAGCAGGAGATGTAAGTTGTTATAAGCGAATTGGATTTCGGTACTTTTGAATTTTGAAAGGGTTTCTTCCATAGAAAAGTTGTTGTAAGTCGAAGCCAACATTTATTTATAAATAGGTAAGCATATAATGAAATATCTTCGTCTTTTAAAAAGGTTAATATTTCGCGAACAATGAGCTCGTTTGTAAAAAGGGTAGATGTTTTCATCATTTTATTTTATTTATTTATTTTTAATAAAAAACAAGTGATTCAAAGATAGGATGGGATTCATGAATTCACAAATAATTCAAAGGGAAAGGGATATGGGAAAAGTTTGAAAGACGGCCCTTTTTAAGATAAAATCCTAAAAAGGATAAATTTCCGACAATTCACCTTTCAAAATGTTTTTTTTATATTATATTACAGTAGAAGAGATCGTGAAAAAAAAACTTGATAACCGGTAGATAATCCGTTCCGCCATTGTTAAAACTCTAAAATGATTTCTGGGTGCATATGATTTCCATTTCACGGAGTTTGAATAGCGGTTTCAGAATGAATCCCAATAAGTACTTGGATACAATAATTCCCATTGTACTTTTTAAGAACGCGTTTCGTTATGAAATCGTTTTTATAAGGCCAAAAATAAAATAAAATCAAATAAAAAAAAATTTTTCGTAAAGTATATACATATTTAGGTAACCTTACTTTTCTGTTTTAATGTGTATATAAAGCACGTCCCAACCAATTACGTAAAATCATACGAACTTTTTTTTTTTTTTTTTAGATGAAAACAGGTTTTATAATAGAATAAAGAAATCTTTATCATCGGGATTACTTTCAGCTAAAAATGGGAACGATGTATTCACTAAATATAACCTCAATGAAATCTGTTACACCGAATAAAGTTTCGTTCCAAATCCAAACAATTGAAAAAATTTGTCTTTTGTAAGATCATGAATCTCGATGTTGCCTTTCGAAACACAAGATTATTTTGAAATTTTAGGAAAATGTTCAAAGGGTTCGAAGGGTAGAGTGAAATTTAATTCTGCAATTATAATTTGAATGAGACCGCTTATATGAATTAGTTCGAATTTATAAGGCCATGGTCTTTCAAGACCGTGAAACAGAAAATAGATTTTAAGGAACAGTTTCTTTAATAGTTTATTCGGTCAAGATAGCATATATCAATACAATAAGTAAAATGTAA